GAGAGAGAGAGAGAGAGAGAGAGAGAGTTGTGTGCACTATTCGGGCGAAAGGATCATTAAAACAAAAGATTCCTGTTATGTGCCGGGAGGCACAAATCTCTCTCTCTCTCTCTCTCTCTCTCTCTCTCTCTCCCTGCCCCATCCCCACGTGCTTCTTCTCTCCTGTACCCACCTGCTCCCCAGCCCCTCCGTGTTAGCATCCCTTGCCTAACCTTTGTCTGCCCTTGTGTTGTGAATGTTCTGCTGTGCAGATCTGGGACTGCTTCGAGGAGCATATTGCACGTTTCCCCTCAACCCTTTTAGATGCAGGTGTCACTTCACAGGTACGTTTTATTGCCACGCAGGACTGTAGAGATGCGTTGTTTCATTAAGGTGCTTATAGACGGGCGTTTTCTGTCGGTCTCGGTTTAGATTATGTTAGATTGATCTAGGTTTTCAAGAATGAAAATCGAGGCCGCAGAGAACACGCACACCATCACATCCACACAGAGGGCTCACAATTCAATGAATGTGCTGTTGTGATCACCCTACTGTGATTTTGGCATGTGATAGTCATGCCTGTTGTGACACCCGACTGCGGTGCTCCATTCAGAATAGCACCTGTCAGTGTAGAGGTGGAGGCACTACTTTTCATAGCCCACATTCAAACCTTTACTAGTCTATCTGTTGTGGTGGCCACTGACTATGGAGATGTGTTAGGCTCTAGGTGGATTGTTTGTGTTTTGTTTGTTTTCTGTGTCTGTTTGGTTTGAGGAAGTGATCTGGTTTCCCGGTTTCCCTCCCTTTCCACTGTTTCCACTACTGCCTTTCTTTTCTTTCCTCTCCCTTTTTTTTCCTTTCCTCAGAGCACACCTGTATTGTGGGAGTGCATGTGTCAGTCCTGTATGAATATGTTGTTGCACAAATTACCAAGTGAGAGTGCATTTAAAGTCAACGGAGGGTGGAAGAAAAACACCGTATACCCCTTTGGGCATTTAACTTTGACGCTCCTGGCTGCAATTTCGAGATTTTTTGAACCGAAATCGTCAGGCCTTACTGGTTCCGGCTAGTAGGGCCTGACGATGTCAATTCACAAAACGCGAAAATTGTGGCCAGGAACATCAAAGTCAAACGCCCAATGGACTAAGTGCAAGGTGTCCCATTTCTGCGTGGTTCTGCGGGAATTGCCACAGCTTCGTCTGCTTGATGGACGCTTACCCTGTAATAAAAAAGATGCGCTACAGATCACATGCTGTGCCTGCTCTGGGGCTACAAAAAAAAGGAACATCACACTGCTACTGCCTTCCTCAACACCTACGAGTTCAAGGTTTCCTGCATCTGCGTGATCGAGCAGGTTGTGCCCACACATCCGTCTTGTCGGCACACTCTAGCTCTGTGTAAAAATGAGGAACTTAGGGATGCCCACACACACATGTACTGCTCTACTGCCTGCAATAACACCAGGCAGCTACACAAAGCTTCAACGTGTCCAAGGCCATGACCTGTCATGTGAACCCAGGACGGCTACTGCATGAAGCGCCCTGGCCCCTATGTAGCCATGTGGTCAGAAAACACTTTCACCCTGTGAGAATCACACCCATAGTATAAAAATCCTCTGAGTTTACGCACAAGAGTTTGACATCACGGTTTCTTGCTGAGACGCACAAAACCCTAATCAGTACACTAGGCAGCAGTAGCACTACTGCCTAATGTTAGGGTCCCACTGGTGCTATGTTGGCGCTTGGAAAAAGTGAACCTGGTCACAACCGTGGTTGTGTCCTTGCTTTGTCAGCGCTGACATAGCAAAAGTGGGGCCCGACCCTATAGCACCTTGGCCCATCTCATGTCCTTAGAAAATGTGTACACCCAAGTATTAAACCTCTCTGAGTCTCTCCACAGGAGTTCCGTGCCCCAGTGGTGATAGGGAGTCCACCATACGACCACTGTGTACAAGAGGATTTATGTGTGCGGACAGACTACCAGGGAATGAGTACTCCCCCAAGATATTAGAGTCCCTTTGAAGTTTGAACAGTATCCTCTCAGCGTGTTCCATCGCCATACCCTCGTTTAACAGAAGATAGTAACAAAAAGAAGCCAGGGGATACAATGTTGCCCGGAACACACCCCTTTCCCATGCCCTCGGCAACTTGGAGTCCCTAGATATGACCTGACAACCCTGGAGGAGATAGGATGGGGTGAGAGTCCGGTATGATGTGGACCAATCGTGTCTGCTCTGCCCATTATTTTCGCTCTCTCTTTGTTGGGGGTCTTGGCACCACAAAACATTGGTAGTGTTCATGTGGTAGATTGACGCAGCATTGAGCCAGTGCAATCTCTGCTTATGCTACTCATTGGGCTGTGCAATCTCTGCGTATGCCAATCATGTTATTAGTTCTGGATTGCTTTCTGTTTGGATGGCTGTCGATGATATCAGTTGCGCATGACAACATTCAGCCATTGAAATGTGTATGTGTGCTATTCATGCTACGGAGAACAGATTGTGTGCTATTCATATTACTTGGATTGGATGGACGTGTTACTTTCACCTGGGTGCAGAAATTTACTTTCTTAACACACGCTGTGGCTTTCTGTCTGTTGGCTGTAACAGACACGCAAGCAAGCAGTTATGGGGGCCATTCAACGAGCTTCTCGAATCGTGCAGAATAATCCGTTAGCTGCTGTACCCCAGTTTGTTCGGCCCATCCCTAAGGCGCCTGGAGTTATACAGGTGCGTTTCAGCTTGAGAGTATTCTAATAGCAGGAGTGATGAGCATGAGTTCTTTTTCTCTTTTATTGGTGTGTGTTTGTGTGCATGTATGGAGTGCTTTGGGGAAGGGGGGGGATACATAGGGAAGAGGGGGCGAGAGGCGGAGTGGGGGGGCTGGAGTGTACAGGGTCAATGATATGCATTTGGATATGTCACTGCACGAGGGTATGCAAGAGGGTATGAGGTCGAAACGCTGGATGAAAGATGAGGATGCTGGGGCAAAATTCTGCAGTTGGAGGCCTATGCGGCTTGGGCTCTTCATGGAAAAAAAGCCCCTGACAGCAGCTGTTCTTGGGAATGGAGCTGTTGGAGAGTAAGGAGTTCGGGTTGCATGCTGGCGAGAGGTGAAGTGGCCAAGGCTAAGGCAAATTCATCTGGAAGGGTAGGGGAAAGTTCCTGTCGCAGAGGTGGACCTTGGATGGGACCTTGACAAGCGGCTGCTCCTACTGGGAGAGTGATGATGGACAAAAACACCTCCAGCAGAACTGAGTAGGTATGGTGGGTGCATTGGACCCAGCATCCTCATCTTTCATCCAAGATTTTGCAAAGTGTCTCTGCAAATGAGTCATGAATGCACCGTGTCCCACGGCATTCATTAAGAAGCTTTCTATTTTTCCTTTCCCAAGCCCTCACTGGCAACCAGCCTGGGAGATCCACCTCTATGGCATTCTCCAAATTTCCCATCAACAAAGAAAAAGGTACAGAAGGTTTTTGCTGGACCAACAGGTGCAGCTGCACCTTGTTCTGGAGCTGCACATTAATACCTCACTGCGACTGCAGTAGGGCAGTCCTGGCAGTGAGAGAGAGGTGTAATGTCAAGCCCATTAGTCTAGAATCATCGATGAAGCTTTGGAGAGTTTGCTCACACGTATAAGGAATTGCTCATCGGTAAGTGCAAGGAAGATGAGCAATAGCGAACTTCAGCAATCAAACAGCATTATACACATTAGACCAGATAGTCGTGACCTCGAACCAATTGCAGAATTGCATCACGAGTTTCACCAAATAAGAGCACACCAAAAGCTCATAATTGACAATGCTGGAATAGTCTCATCATCATCATCGACGAAGAACCAATGTTGATATCCTATCTGGCGGTCGGCGCCCTGACTACAGATGGCAGATCCTATCTAGCCTAGACTACGATGCCGAAGATGACGACAACAGCTCTCCCGAAGTACGAGCAGATAGCGGCCAATGCTGCACGCTTCCAGCACCAGGTATGTCTCTCGCATCACTCACAACCTCGTTCCCCAACACACAGATGCCACATGCACCCAAGGAC